CTGCACCCAGCCAGGGATGAACATTTTTATATGCTAATCTTTGTATCTGCTCATTTCTATAAAAGGAATCATTAGAATTGGAATATCTAGGTCATTTTGACCAAAAAGGAACATTAATCTCTTAATATTGCCATATGACACCTTAGAAAGTTTACATCATTTTACACGAATAATTGTTTCCTTATTGATGGTCCAAACCTAGAGAATTTTTGGTCATTCTGTGATCTGTAATTGGACAAATTTCCGTTGCTTCTAGCAGCATTTTATACATACTTATCAAGATGTATTGTGATTTATACACACTTATCAAGATGTATTATGTTTTGCTTGCATTTCTCCAAGTAAGCTCTGAAGTGGAAAACAGAACTTGTTTTACTCTTTGTAGCACGATACTGAGAACAGTAACACCTAACAGGCATCAAGGCCCTTTGTAGGTAAATCTGCAGAAAGAGTAATTGTCTCAATCTCAGTTTCCCTGTGATAGATCAAAATAAAGCTTTCCATACCTAACCTAGGGAAGCTGCATACAGTTGAAGAGCTATATTCATCTTAACCTGGCCCTGACAGCTCCTCAACATGTTTTTCTTTTCCAAGTTCCACATTGCTTCACCATGTCCTTTTAACAGTCCCATTTTTTATTTTATCCATCACACGAACTTGTAGTTGGTTCTGCCTGCAGCGTTTCTCCATGATATAACCTCATCATATACACTCAGGAGCCTGAGAAATGAGTATCACAAACCACAGAGTCTTCTTGTTGCTTAGTTACTGTCCTGCATTTCCTGGGGACTTTATCTTGGCAAACTATATGATGCTACGTTTTAATGAATGTTGATCAGTCACTGTATGATAAATGCCAGGAAAAACAGTGAGAGATAAAAAGAAAGAAGTGTGAATCCCGCTCTTCTGCCTATATCCCAGCTCCATTTTCACGCCTTTTTGTATCAGCCCCCAGAATCTGGGGTCTTCTGTTTGAAAATGAGATCGATTCCATAACATCTGTATAGCTCTGCTTGCTATGGTACTGGGCTGGAAAGAGGCAGGTCAAAGCAGGTGCCCCCCTCACCAGTGTGCCCTGAGGATGCAAAGGCCCTGTTTGCCTGGTGATAACACCTTCAGTGCCCATTAGGGAGCCCAAAATTGCCAGTTGACTATCCCTTTGGGACTGATGCCTTAAAATCTCATTTTGTCTTTGAGAAGTGGTATTTGGAATGTTCACACATCAAAATGAAAATTATCATTTTCTGCTAGCACAGTACCAGCTAGTGTATCTTAGCCAGCTGGCTCACCTCTCAAGGCACTAAAGGAACAGAAAAACACAGGGCAATCTCTGTAAGCCTCATTCCTTCACTCGGTAACCTGTGAGAAGCTAGAGAGAAAGGACCAGTGAGAGCACAGGATCAGCTCTTGCTGGGGATCCAGCCAGGAGCCACCATGGAGGGCCTGGAGCACTCAGAGGAAAACATGGGGACATCAAGTATGCAGGAGATCAGGCGAAAAACAGTAAAGTCAGCTCCGGAAAGACTCATACCTCTCACCCCCACTGCCTCAACCTCCTCTCAAGGTGTAGAGTTCACAACTTTTCCTTGGGAAGCTTCTGTGTCTACAGTGCTCAACAGAAGAGACAAACAGGGTTTAGGTTACTATCTTCCATACCCTAAACGTGAACATTGTAATTTTGGAAATATAGTAGCAAAAGGAAAGCACTTCTCAGGAAGGAAAAATACATCTACTCCTGCTAACAGTTTTCTCCATTCACAAAATATTACTCATTTTTTTAAACTTTGGAAAGAATATTAATATTCATAGATGTCAGATTAGTTGGGCAAAATATGCTAAAAATTGCCATTTAATTTATAATAGTGAAAAACTGAATGCAACCTAAATGCCCATGAATGATAGCTAGTTACATACAGTGGACTACAATGGAATTCTATGAAGTCATAAAAATAAGGATGTACATCTGTATTTATTGTTATAGAAAGAAAGCTACAAAATATTGTCGAGAGAGAAAGTAGACTGCAAAACTGAATATATATGCAAAGAGATGTCTTTAGGGATATTTACTGTTAAACAGTGATTAACTTAGTTGTCTTTTTTTTCCTCTGTTTTTTCTTTTCTTTTTTCTTTTTTGCGTTAAATCTGTACCTTTTTAAAAAGCAGTAATACACTTTCTCCCTCCAAAAAAGAATAGCCTAACGAAATCTTTTACTTCAAATTATTTTCCCCTTATTAATCTTTGTATCAACCATTGTGGTTTGCTAAAACCAGGAAGGATTGTAGAGTAGAATCCATGCCCACGATAGAACAAAATCCAAGCAGGAAGACACTTCATATGTGGTTATAAGACCAGGAGGACCAGGAGACAAAGGGAAGCCATGGGGTGTGTGTGTGTGTGTGTTTTGTTTTGAGAGAGTGTCGCTCTGTCACCCAGGCTGGAGTACAGTGGTACCATCATAGCTCACTGCAGCCTCCAACCCCTGGGCTCCAGCAATCCTCCCACCTAAGCCTCTCTAGTATCAGGGACTACAGGTATGCATCACCACATCCAGCTAATTTTTAGTTTAGTTTTTTGTTGTTGTTGTTGTTTTTTTTTTTGGAGACAGGGTCTTGCTATGTTGCCCAGGCTGGTCTCAAACTCGTAGGCTCAAGTAAACCTCCCAAAGCATTGGGATTACAGATGCGAGCCACCACACCCAGCCTAGAAGCAATGGTTCTGATCCAGGAAAAGTGCAGCCTGGAAACTCAGCATTATGTACAGAATCCTAGCTCTTAGACTAAAAGGCATCAACTGGTACAATTTCTTGCCTTTGGGCACCAAACGTGTTAGCTTCCATTTTATTTAACTTACTGTAAAATTATATTAGCTATGCTGCCACTTAAGCCAAGATGCTTTCTGTCTAGTCACTTAGGTTCCATCCTTTTGAGGGCCCTTCCGTTTCATTGCCTCTCCTTTCCCATTCCCCTCCCCAAGGCTGTACTTTGAGTAACTGTATGTGCATTTTCCTGTGCCTTTTCATTATTAAAACACTGTAAAAGGTAATGTCTCCAAAATGCAAACCATAGTCTTCTCCATTGAAAAATATTTTCCAGGCTAGGCCCTCCACCTGGATGACAGAGTGAGACTGTCTCACAAAAACAAAAAAATTCATTAAACTGTATAACTAAAATGGGCGCATTTTATTTTATGTAAACCATATCTCATAAAGTGTATTTATTTATTTATTTATTTATTTATTTATTTTGAAACAAGGTCTTGCCCCGTTGCCCAGGTTAAAGTGCAGTGGCATAATCATGGTTCACTGTAGCCTTGAACTCCTGGGCTCAAGTGATCCTCCTACCACAGCCTCCTCCCAAGTAGTTGGGACCATGGGCATGTGCCACCATGCCCAGCTAATTTTTTTTTTAAGAGATGAGGGTCTCACTATGTTGCCCAGGCTGGTCTCGAACTTCTGACCACAAGAGATCCTCCTGTCTTGGCTTCCCAATGTTCTGGGATTACAGGTGTGAACCACCATGCCTGACCAAAGTTGATTTGAAAAAATGAAAGGGGAACCGAGCACAGTGGCTCATGCTTATAATCAATCCTAGCACTTTGGGAGGGCTGAGGCGGGTGGATCACCTGAGGTAGGGAGTTCGAGACCAGGCTGACCAACATGGGTAAACTCTTGTCTCTACTAAAAATACAAAATTAGCTGGGCGTGGTGGCACATGCCTGTAATCCCAGCTACTCGGGAAGCCTCAGCTTGAACCCAGTAGGTGGAGGCTGCAGTGAGCCAAGATCATGCCATTGCACTCCGGCCTAAGAAACGAGAGCGAAACTCTGTCTCAAAAAAAAAAAAAAAAAAAAGAGTTCTGGGCTTGGTGGCTCACACCTGTAATCCCAGTACTTTGGGAGGCCAAGGTGGGTGGATCACCTGAGGTCAGGAGTTCAAGACCAGCCTGGCCAACATGGCCACAAACCCCTCTCTACTAAAAATACAAAAAAGTAGCCGAGTGTGGTGGCACATGCCTGTAATCCCAGCTATTCAGGCAGCTGACACACAAAAATCGCCTGAACCTAGGAGGCAGAGGTTGCGGTGAGCCAAAATCATGCCACTGCGTTCCAGTCTGGGTGACAGAGTGAGACTCCATGTCAAAAAATGAAACAAAACAAAAATGAAAGGGAAATAAGAGTCATTACGAATATAATTAGGTTTAAATTTTTAGTTAAAATCAAATTTTGATTGAACTGGGATTGCCAAAAATGTCCTTAACTTCGTATCTCCAAATAAAACTCTTGCAGTTAATTTATGTTGTTTATACAGCTAGCTAATTCTCTATATTTTTATAGTATGTTGACACTTAAAATTTCAATCTCTTCTAGTAGTTCCATGAGTGGGACTGAGGGGGTGATGGGTGTTCTCATTATAGCCTTCAGAAAGCTGCCTATATATAGTGTGCACAAATAACTATTACTCAGAGAATTAGAATCATCACAAAATATCCTTTATGAAGGATAAATATAGGCTAATATATCCTTTATGACTGTTAAATATAACCTAATGTTTCTTTTATTCTTCAGACCCAGTTCAACTGTATAGAAAAAAAATGTATGCACAAAAGCAGCACTCTGTAATTAAAAAAATATTCCTTATTGGTCTTTTGGATTTTGGTTCTGCATAAGTATGAGTTTCTCATCAGGCCTCTCTAGACTACTAAAGCCTAATGCTTCCCCTATCTCAGCTCTTAGAGGAATTACTGGGTGTCTTGTTTATTTGGCAATTCCGTGCTTACAAACTCTCTTTTCAATGAGATCTTCAGCTCCTTGAGACCACAGTAGATACCTAAGTATTTGTCAGTGTAATTTTTTGTATTGATTTACTGAATTCAAAGGGTTTATACAAATATTTTGTTTACAGGGTTTCATTACAATCCAAATAAGCTTGTATGCTTAGTAATTCCAAAAATGTTGTAGGTATTCAGATTAGCGTTGCTCATTCATGCCATTTAATTTACAGAGCTCAGCTGCAGTAATTTTCTCTAGTGGATGATGTAAGGGAGTCATTGGCAGAGAAGCAAGAGACTTGGCTTCAGAGTGGGCAGTAACAGGGCTGAATCTGGTTTTACAAAGCAGGTAATGTAAAGCTCTCATTGCCTCTGTAAGGACAAGGCTTTGAGCCATGAGTCCCAGGGTCCTCTAAGTGAAGGCTTCTTAAAGGAATTGAGCCTCGTTTCCTGGATTTGAGGTTTATTCTTTTTCACATTCCCTTTGTACACCAAATATATTTAGTATTTATTATATTTTAAGTTTAGACCTTTGGAATTTTTTTTTTTTAGACAGAGTCTCACTCTCTCCCAGGCTGGAGTGCAGTGGCGTGACCTCAGCTCACTGCAACCTCCGCCTCCCAGGTTCAAGCAATTCTCCTACCTCAGCCTCCTAAGTAGCTGCGACTACAGGCATGTGCCCACCACGCCCTGCTAATTTTTGTATTTTTAGTAGAGACAGGGTTTCATCATGTTTGCCAGGCTGGTCTCAAACTCCTTACCTCAGGTGATCTGCCTGCCTTGGTCCCCAGACATGTCGGGATTACAGGCGTGAGCCACCGCGCCAGGCCGCGGTTTGATGGGTTTTGAGAAAGTAATATACGCATGTAACCACCATCACCACAATGAAGATCTAGAACATTTCCATCATCCCCAAATTCCCTGGTACTCATCCCTGGTCCCCGGCAAGCCCTCATCTGTTTTCTGTCACTGCGGATCAGATTTGTCTTTTCTAGAGTCTCATAAAAATGTGATCTTATGAAATGTGTAGACTCTTGTGTGTAAGGTTTCTTTTCCTCAGCATAATGTTTTTAGACTTGTCTATGTTGCATGAATGAGTGGTTCATTTCTGTTTATCACTGAGTATTTTTCCAATGTATGTATATACCACAATTTGTTTATATACCACAAATGTTGATGGACATTTAGGCTTTGTCCAGTTTTATCTATTATAAATAAAGCCATTATGAACATCTATGTACAATTTTTGTGTGTACATGTTTTCTCTTGGGTAAATATCTAGGAGTAAGACTACTGGGTTGTATGCTAAGTGTATGTTTAATTTTAAAAGAAATGGCAGCCGGGTGCAGTGGCTCACACCTATAATCCCAGCATTTTGGGAGGCCGAAGTGGACAGATCACCTGAGGTCAGGAGTTCAAGACCAGCCTAGCCAACGTGGCGAAACCCCATGTCTACTAAAACTACAAAAAAATTAGCCGGGCATGGTGGCACACGCCTGTAATGCCAGTTACTTGGGAGGCTGAGGCAGGAGAATCACTTGAACCCGGGAGGTGGAGGTTGCAGTGAGCTGAGCTCACACCACTGCTCTCCAGCCTGAGCGACAGTGCGAGCCTCCATAAAAAAAAAAAAAAAAAATGGCCAAACTGTTTTCCAAAGTCCTGGTACCATCTCACATCCCACCAGTAAAGTTATGAGAGTTCTAGTTGCCGTACGTTCTCACTGATAATAACTTGCTATTATCAGTCTTTTTAATTTTCACCATTCTAATGGATATGTAGTGGTATCTCACTGTGGTTTTACTTTGCATTTCCGTGATGACTAATGATGTTGACATATTTTTGTGTGCATGTTGGATATTCATGTATCTTTGTAAAGTGCCTATTCAGTGTGTTTTCCAATTTAGTTGGGTTGGTTGTCTTCTTACTCAGTTGTAATAATTATTCATATTCTAGATACAATACCTTTGGCAGATATGTAGATATGTGTTGTGTGACTATTTTCTCCCAGTCTGTGACTTGTCTTCATTTTGTTAGTATTGTCTTTTGAAGAGCAGAAGTCTTTAACTTTGTAAAAGTCTAATTTTTAGCTATCTTCTTTTATAGCTCTTATCTTTTTTTGTTTGTTTTTGTGTGTGTGTGTGTGTGTGTGTGTCTTCAATTATCTAAGAACTCTTTGACTCCCTCCAGATCATGTAAATGTTCTCCTATGTTTTATTTTAGACATTTTAAGTTTTACCTTTTTTTTGGGGGGGGGGGGGGGGCAGAATCTCTCTCTGTCATACAGGATGGAGAGTAGCCAGCATGATCTCAGCTCACCGCAGCCTCCGCCTCTCAGGTTCAAACAATTCTGCCTCAGCCTGCCAAGTAGCTGGGACTACAGGAGGTAGTCCCACTGCCACACCCGCTAATTTTTGTATTTTTAGTAGATATGGGGTTTCACCATGTTGGCCAATGTGGTCTTGATCTCCTGACCTGCTGATCCACCCGCCTTGTTCTCCCATAGTGCTGGGATTACAGGCATGAGCCACTGCACCCATCCAAGTTTTACCTTTTAAGCTTAGGTACACGGTCCAATTTGAGGTGAATTTTGTGTATGAGTAAGTTAATAATCAATGTTCATTTTTTCCCATATGGTTATCCAGCTTTTCCTGCACCATTTGTTGAAAAGCCTTTCTCCTATTGACTTACTATGGCCACTTGGTCAAAAATTACTTGCCCATAGACATGTGGGTTCATTTATTTTGTTCTATTAATCCAAATGTTGATCCCATAATAATAATGTAGCTTTAGACTGAAGTGCAGTGGCATGATCACAGGTCATTGCATCCTCAACCACCCAGACTCAAGCAATCCTCCTGTCTCAGCCTTCCAAGTAACTGAGACGACAGGTGTGCACCACCACACCTGGCTGCTGTTTGTTTTTGTAGAGATGGGGTTTCACCACATTGCCCAGGCTGATCTTGAATTCCTGGGCTCAAGCTGTCTTCTCACCTCAGCCTCCAAAAGTGCTGGGATTATAGGTGTGAGCCACCATGCCCCACCCCTGCTGGGATTTCAGTTAAGATTATGTTGTATCTATGGAACAATTTGGGAAAAATGGTCATTATCATATTTAGTCTTGTAGTTCATAGACATAGTATATCTCCATTTATTTGCATCTTTAATTTTCAACATAACATTCAGCAATGTTTTTATAGTTTTAATTGTATAGGTGCTTTGCATGTATTATGTTAAATTTATCCCTAACTAGTCCATGTTTTTGATACTATAGTAAATGGGGTGTGTGTGTGTGTGTTTGTATATATATATATTTTTTTTTAGACAGAGCCTCACTCTGTCACCCAGGCTGGAGTGCAGTTGTGTAATCATAGCTCACTACAGCCTTGACCTCCTAAGCTCAAGCAGTCCTCCTGCCTCAGCCTCCCAAGTAGCTGGGATGACAGTGTGCACTACCACGCCCAGATAATTTTTTTTTTTTTAATTGAGACAAGGTCTTGCTGTGTTGCCCAGGCTGGTCTCAACCTCCTGGACTCAAGTAATCTTCCCTTCTCAGCCTCTCAAAGTGCTGGAATTACAGGTGTGAGTCACCATGCCCAGCCAGAGGCGTTGTTTTTGATACTATAGTAAATATTTTATTTAAATTTCCAGGTGGTCATTGCTAGTATGCAGAAAATATTGTTTTGTATTAACCTATGCTAAAGTCACATTATTTTGATTTGCTTTTCGTAAAGATTCCTTAAATGTTTCTACGTAAACAATCATGTCATCTGCAGATAGACAGTTTTATTTCTTCTTTTCAGTCTGTATGGTTTTCTTTGCCTTTTTCTTGCCTATTGTACTGGCTAGGACTTCCAGAGTAATGTTTAAGAGAAATCCTAAGACTGGACATCCTTGCCTTATTCTCAATCTGTGGAGAAAGTATTCAGTTGTTCATCATTAACAGATGATGTTAGCTGAAGGTTTTTCAGAGATTGTGTACTCTACCAGGATGAAGAAGGTCCCCTCTATTTCCAGTTTGCTAAGAGTTTTAAAATTGTGAATGGGTGGCGAATTTTGTTAAATATTTTTCTGCATCTAATAAGAGAATTGTATATGATTTTTCTCCTTTATTCTGTAATATGGTAGTTATGTTGATTTTTTTAGTGTTAAACCAAGCTTGCATTCTTGGGATAAACCCCACTTAGTCATGATGCATTATCCTTGCTGTATATTGCTAAATTCAGTTTGCCAAAAATTTAATTAAGGATTTTTGCATCTGTATTCAGTGAGGTATACTGGTCTCTAGTGTTCTTTCCTTTCAGTGTCATTGTCTAGGCTCAAAAAAATGACTAGAGAAGTGATCTTTCTTTATTTTTAGAATGAGTTTGTGTGTGTTTGTTAATTGTTTTTTTCCTTAAATATTTGATAGAATTTACTGCTAAAGCCACCTCAGTCTGAAATTTCTTTGCGAGAAGTTTTAATTCATAATTAAATTTCCTTCGTATATGTAGGGCTAGTTTCTTTTTTTTTTCTTTTTTTTTGAGACAGAGTGTCACAGTGTCGCCTGGGCTGGAGTGCAGTGGCACGATCTTGGCTCACTGCAACCTTTACCTCCCAGGTTCAAGCGATTATCCTGCCTCAACCTCCCAAGTAGCTGGGATTACAGGCACCCGCCACCATGTCTGGCTAATTTTTTGTATTTTTAGTAGAGACGGGGTTTCACTATGTTGGCCATGCTGGTCTAAAACTCCTGAGATGAGGATAATTTTTTGTATTTTTAGTAGAGACGGGGTTTCATTATGTTGGCCAGGCTAGTCTCAAACTCCTGACCTCATGATTCGCCCACCTCAGCCTCCCAAAGCACTGGGATTACAGAGTGAGCCACTGCGCCTGGCCTTCTTTCTATAGTTTCTTGAATCACTGTGGTTAATCGGCATTCAACCAATTTGTCCATTTTATCTATGCCATTGAATTTATTTACATAATTATAATATTCTTTTTTTGTTTTAATGTCTGCAAGATCTGTGGTGATATCATCTCTTTCATTCCTAATGTTGGTAATTTTTTCTTTTCCTCCTTGCTCTTATTGTTTGAGACAGGTTCTCATTCTGTCACCCAGACCAGGCTGGAACACGGTAGCGATCATAACTCAGTCAGCCTCAAACTCCTGGTCTCAGGCAGTCCTCCTGCCTCAGCCTCTCAAATTGTTGGAATTACAGGTGTGAGCCAGCCACTGTGTTCAGCCTCTTTTAATTCCTATACGTATTAGCCAGTTGAGGTGGCTTACTTGAACCCAAGAGTTCTGGGCAACACAGCAAGACCTCATCTCTACAAATAATTTTAAAAATTAGCTGGGGCATGGTGGCACACACCTATGGTCTCAGCTACTCGAGAGGCTGAGACAGGAGGATCTCTTGAGCTCGGGCAGTCAAGGCTTCAGTAAGCCGTGATCGTGCCACTACACTCCAGCCCAGGTGACACTGTAAGACTCTGTCTCAAAAAATAAATAAATAAATAAATAGATATAGAAAATCTGAGTAGCCCTATATATACTAAGGAAATTTAATTATCAATTAAATTGTCACCTGGGTAACAGAGTGAGACCATGTCTCAAGGGAAGCGGGGGGAGGGGCAAGTCTTGTATTTATTATTTCCTTTCTTTTACTTTGTTTTACTTTGGTTTCATTTGTTGTTCTTTCACTATCTTTTTTGTTTTTACTGAGTCATCATTATTGTTCTACCACTCGAATCACTGCATTGCTGCTGCTAAATGGCCAACAGACCAACAGATCCTTGCATAGAAACAAAAAAAGCCCTTGCTTTTCAATATTACCAAAGGGAAATGTATAGTCAGAACTGCAAGAAAATTGCCGTGCGATCCAGCTTCTGTCACATTTTAGTTTACAATACAGGAGCATAAAGTAGCTATTCAACTACCTCAAAAATAAGAGAATCATTTACCTTTCTGTGTATAACCTAATTAAACCCATATCAGATCCAGCAAACCTGATTTTCATCTCTCTCCAGTAGATATAGGAGTATATATTAATATTTCTACTTCATGACTAGATAGGGGACTAACTTAAAATTGGCTACTCAGTTATCACTTGTAAGGCCCACAGTTGCACCTGGGTAGGTGGGTAGTTGCACATGCACACAATTGGTGGTCACAACTCTGCTTTCTTGCCCTTCTCCTTAACATGGAGCTATTTAATCTTATTTATTTATTTATTTAGAAATAGAGTCTGGCTGTGTCACCTTGGCTGGAGTGCAGTGGCACAATCATGGGTAGAGACAAGGTCTTGCTGTGTTGCCCAGGCTGGCCTCAAACTCCTGGTCTCAAGTGATCTTCCCACCTCAGCCTCCCGAGTAGCTGGGACTATAGACATACACAACCACGCTCTGCCAATTTGGAAATTTTTTGTAGAAATGAGGTCTCCCTATGTTGCCCAGGCTGATCTTGAACTCCTGGCCTCAAGCAGTCCTCCCACCTCAGCCTCCCAAGTGCTAGGATTACAGGCAAGAGCCACCGTGCCAGGCTGGAACTATGTAAGGTAGCACGTAGCCCTGTATGTACATGTTACTAACAGTGGTTGTGTAGATCACTCCTCCAAAGGGAAAGTCTCTCTAGATGGGTCTTTGGCCCAGTTAAGCAGTAGCTTCCTCCAAATGGTGCCCACCTGTCCATTGACTGGGACATTTGAAGACAAAGTGAGTCTTCAGTCACCATCACCATTCCCCACATCTCTTTCCCTGGGAGTGCACACACTTAGGAGGGCAGCGCTTCATCCGCAAGCAGTGACAGCCAGCCAGGATCTGTGAAATGTCTCTCAAGGAAATGTGCTGCTCTCTTCCATGCTGAGAGATGCCACATGGTCACAGTGCAGTCTTCATGCAGTTGTAGCTTAGACTTCCAGATTCAAAGGTCAGAAACCAGCTTGGAATTTTCCTGGTCCTAACTCAAACCTGGCATAAGTCAAAGTTTAAATCCAGCAGGCTCCACAGGAAATCAGATTGAACACATGTGCTGCTTGGTCAAGCAAGGACCCTGGAGTAGAAAAATAGGTCATCTTGGTCATGAAAGCCACAACATCACCTGCAAGAGGACAGGCACTTGGTTCTGTTCACTGCTGTGCCCTCAACTCCTAGAGTAGGACCTGGTGCAGAGTGTGATCAGAAAATATTTATTGAGTCCCAGGTACAGTGGCTCATGCCTGTAATCCTAACACATTGGAAGACTAAGGTGGAGGATCACTTGAGCCCAAGAGTTTGAGACCAGCCTGGGTGACACAGGGAGACCCTATCTCTATAAAAAATAAACTTTAAAAAAAAAAAAATTAGGCCGGGCGCGATGGCTCACGCCTGTAATCCCAGCACTTTGGAAAATTGAAGCAGATGGATAGTCTGAGGTCAGGAGTTCAAGACCAGCCTGGCCAACTTGGTGAAACCCCATCTCTACTAAAAATACAAAAATTAGGCGGGCATGGTGGTGGGCGCCTATAATCCCAGCTACTCAGGAGGCTGAGGCAGGAGAATCGCTGGAACCTGAGAGGTGGAGGTTGCAGTGAGGTGAGATTGTACCACTGCACTCCAGTCTGGGCAACAGAGCAAGACTTGGTCTACACACTTTGTAATCTAAAACATTCTCTACCAATACTGTAATCAGTGAATTCTTGCTTTATTGATACATTCTAGTATTCAGTGGTGATTTTAATACACTGTTTTGGTACTTTCTGCTTTCAGTTTTCATTGCTGTGGCCATTGCCTTAAACAGAAATAAAAAACTAAAACAATTTTACAACCATCCAAAAGAGGCTTGGAAACTTTTTTTTGGCTAGATGTCCATAGCACAATTTAATTCAGTAAACATAAACAGTTAAAATTATTCCAGTACAAAACCATGTTTTAAAAAAGAGATTACACCCAATTTTGGCAACAACACCCAGGAAATAAGCATTCTTTTACATTTGGTTCAAACTTTCTGAATGGCAGTTGTGCAACACTTGTTGTGAAAAGCTTTAGAATATTATATACATGTTAATCCCATATTTTCATTTCTATGAATTCATCCAAAAGAGATAACAATGGTTGTGGGTAGAGACAGAGCCGTATGGAATGCACACCGCAGTGATGAACAGTGGTCCAGTTCTGCCATTAAGGAGGTGAGAACATGGGGGAAGATTTTTATCGAAGTTTCTTTTCTGGAACATGTGCTCAGGTTAAACACCTGCTCTGTATCTCTAGCTTCTGACCTCTACCCCTAGCCAGCTCTGTTACTCCAGTACACTGCTAGGCAGGCAGAGTATGGCCAGAGTATTCACAACAGTGCATCACTAAATCAAGTGGGATTCACACAATGGAATATACTAATGCCTCATTAAAAATCACTTTGTAAAAGAAGATTTAATAACAGAAAAAATGCACTGTATATGACATATTTTTAAAATATTACGTCAGTCACAATAAAAGACAAATATTGTCTGATTCCACTTATATGGGATAGAGTAGTCAATATTATAGAGGCAGAAGGTAGAAATAGGTCTGGGTGGAAACTGGAATGAGATGTTCTTAGTGTTTCAGTTTTACAAGATGAAAAGAGTAATGGAGACAGATGGCGGTGGTGGTTGCACAACATTATGAATGTATTTAGTACTATTGAACTGCACACTTAAAAATGGGTAAGATGGCACAGTGAGATACCATCTCACACCAGTCAAAATGGCTGTTACTAAAAAGTCAAAAAAAAACAGATGCTGGGGAGCTTGTAGAGAAAAGGGAACGCTTATACACTGCTAGTGGCAGTGTAAGTTAGTCCAGCCACTATGGCAATTCCTCAAAGAAGTTAGAACTATCATTTGACCCAGCAATCCCATTACTGGGTATATTCCCAAAGGAATATAAATCGTACTGCCTTAAAGACACATGCATGTGATTGTTCATTGAAGCACTCTTTTTAATAACAAAGACGTGGAATCAACCTAAACGCCCATCAACGGTAGACTGGATAAAGAAAATGTGGTTCATATACACCAGGGAATACTGTGCAGCCATAAAAAAAGAACGAGATTATGTCCTCTGCAGAACATGAATGGAGCTGGAGGCCATCATCCTTAGTAAACTAACACAGGAGCAGAAAACCAAATACCACATGTTCTCACTTATAAGTGGGAGCTAAATGATGAGAACACATGGGCACAGAGGGGAACAACACACACTGAGGCCCCCCTTGAGGGAGGAGGGTAAGAGGAAGGAGAAGATCAGAAAAGATAACTACCAGGTACTATGGTAGCTTAGTACCTGGGTGATGAAATAATCTGTACACCCAACCACCCTGACACAAGTTTACCTATGTAACAAACCTGCACACGTATCCCTGAAACTAAAATAAAAGTTTTTTTAAAAGTTACTTAATATTAATGGGACAATATTCATTGCAAGAATCAGACTTCAATTGCTAGCATAAGTAAATGACAGGCAGGAGGTACTGAAAATGCAATCTTACAGACGTTCAAGGAGAGGACGCAGGACATTTCTGTGTCATAAATGTACTATGGAAAATAAAAATGAGAAAAATGGAAATACAGAAAAAGGTTATGATGATAAATCTCATATTATTTTACCACAATAAAAAAAATTTTAATAAATTATAAATGGTGTGATAAGATTTGGCTGTGTTCCACCCCAATCTCATCTTGAATTGTAGCTCCCACAGTTCCCATGTGTTGTGGGAGGGACCTGGTGGGAGATAATTGAATCACGGGGGTGGTTCCCCCATACTGTTCTCTTGGTAGTGAATAAGTCTCATGAGATCTGATGGTTTGATAAGGGGTTTCCCCTTTTGCTTGGCTCTCATTCTCTCTTGACTGCCACCATGTAAGATGTGCCTTTTGCCTTCCACCATGATTGTGAGGCCTCCCAGCCACATGGAACTGTGAGTCCATTAAACCTTTTTGTTTATAAATTACCCAGTCTCGAGTATGTCTTTACCAGCAACGAGAGAACAGACTACTATGAGTGTGATCTAATTACCATAAAGGGAGAATGAGGACTATTGACACCAAAATATGAGATTAGGATTACAGCTCATTTTTTTTTTCTTTTTCTGTTTGTCTTTCCAATTTGCTATGATGAATGTTTCATAATTAGAAAACAAAATTAAATGTTTCCAGCCCCACAAAAAATAACCAGTTTTTTACTTTTATTTTTTTTTTCCCGAGATGACGTCTCTCTCTATCACCCAGGCTAGAGTGCAGTGGTGCAATCATGACTTTCTGCAACCTCCCCCTCCCAGGCTGAAGTGATCCTCCCACCTCAGCCTCCTGAGTAGCTGAGATTGCAGGAGAGCATCATCACACCAGGCTAGTTTTTTTTTAATCTTTTTTGGTAGAGACGGTGTTTCAACATGTTGCCCAGGCTGGTCTCAAACTCCTGGACTCAAGCGGTTCACCTGCCTCAGCCTCCCAAAGTGGTAGGATTACAGGCATGAGCCACCGTGTCTGGCCATTTACTTTTACTAATTTATGCAGAGCCAATTGTGTGGTGTTGTGGTCTCTCCCCACTTTGAGTTGACTGGATGGTTGTGTAGATTGGGCTTGGGCACACTGAGTAGAGCCTAGAGCAAGGTAAACCACCTGGAGGCTCCTGTGCCTCAGTCCAGCAGCAGGGATAGGCACGGGACTTCGTTGACAATGAAAAAGTGCTTGTTGCCGAGAACCTGAAACAGATGCAAACTCAGGGAAGTGACAGTTACATGGGCAAAGAGACCCAAAGGAGTCTGTAAGTATCACCAGCTAACAAGCAACACAGCTCTACCTGCACATCCTACTTCAGTGCCTTAATATAAATAAAACAAATACTTCACAATCAAATAATTTGCTGCAATGTAAAGAAATTTGTGAAAATGGTATACTATGTGGAATCTATATGTCCCCAGAGATGAGACTGAAAAGACAGTTATCATGAAACCAGTCTTTGGCCTTTGACGGTTTCCAGTTTTTGCCACACTTTCAAACACGAGTCCACGTGAGCCAGCCGCAGCCGTTTCAGGATCATGTGAAACGGATTATCATCCCTGGCCTATAGGAAATTGAGGTGTGGGAAAGGTAAAGGAACTGGCCCTACGTTGTTGTATGCAAGTTGGAAGCAAAGAGACAGCTAAGACCACATCTCCTGATTCCCAGTCCAAGGCACTTTTAATGACCTACAATGCCTAGAAGGAAAGGTGGTAAGGAATCATAGGAAAAAGCCTAAGAGCTAAGCTAAAGGAAAGAGGCTGGGAGCACTGACTCATACCTGTAATCCTGGCATTTTGGGAGGCAAGGCAGCAGGATGGCTTGAGCGTAGGAGTTTGAGTCTACAGAGAGCCATCATCACACCACTGAATTCCAGCATGGGCAACAGAACAAGACCCCAACTCTTTAAAAAAAAAAAAAAAAAAAAAGTAAAAAGGAATACTCTATTGGGATAATGATAAGTGTAATTCTCCCATTTCCTCAACATAGTGCTCTCTAAAGATGTGTTCTACCAGATGGGGGGCAGATACACATACCCCAGGATAAGACGGTTCACTAGGACGTAAAATCTATGCTTTATTTTGTCACAGAAGAGGGAAAATGGCCTGGTACCCTCACATCGTACTACATTAGACAGCCATGGGTCAGGAATGATGCATGTGGTACCCTGAATTGGGTGTGAGGGCACCATAGTGAGAAGGATGTGGTGTCCACATGCATTAGTTTGCACAGACGGGTTTACAAGTACCTAATTCATATGAATTATTATTATTTTTTTTTTTTTTCTGAGACGGAATCTTGCTCTGTCACCCAGGCTGGAGTGCAGTGGCGCGATCTCGGCTCACTGCAAGCTCCGCCTCCCGGAGAACACCATTCTCCTGCCTCAGCCTCCTGAGTAGCTGGGACTACAGGCACCCGCCACCACACCCAGCTATTTTTGGTTTTGTATTTTTAGTAGAGATGGAGTTTCACCATGTTAGCCAGGATTGTCTTGATCTCCTGACCTTGTGTTCCGCCCACCTCCACCTCCCGAAGTGCTGGGATTACAGGCATGAGCCACCGTGCCCGGCCAATATGAATTATCTTACATAGCTTTACTAAACAAACCCTTAGTCAAGTGCAAGGTAAACATAATGGCAATATAATTGATTCTAACAAGAAGGAACCAAACAAAAAATTTTTTTTAGAGGCTTGCTCTGTTGCCCAGGCTGGAGTGCAGTGGCACAATCACAGCTCACTGTGGCCACAAACTCCTGAACTCAAAGCCACCCTCCCACTTCAACCTCTCAAGTAGCTGGGACCACAGGCACACACCACCACGCTTGGCTAATTTTTAAACTTTTTGTAGAGAGGGGGTGTCCCAGGCTGGTCTTGAACTCCTGTGCTTAAGCAGTCCTCCCACCTTAACCTCCCAAAGTGTTGGGATTACAGGCATGAGCCACAACACCCAGCCAAAAAAAAATTTTTTGGGGGGGGGATGGGGTCTCCCTCTGTTGCCCAGGCTGGAGTGCAGTGGCACAATATTGGATCACTGCAGCCTCGACCTCCCTGGGCTCAAGTGATCCTCCCAAGTAGCTGAGACTGAAGGCACATGCCACCATGCCTAGCTAATTTCTGTATTTTTTGTAGAGATGGTCTGGCCATGTTGCCCACACTGGTCTTGAACTCCTGGGCTCAGGTGATCCACCTGCCTCAGCCTCCCAAAGTGCTGGGATTATAGGCATGGGCCACCGCACTCAACCAAAAATAAGTTTTTAATTATCAAGAACATTTGAAATATAAAATTATATCCTCTGTTTTTTGTTTTGTTAATCGAGACGGTCTTGATCTGTGGCCCAGGCTAGAGTGCAGTGGTGCAGTCATAGCTCACTGCAGCCTCGAACTCCTGGGCTCAAAGGATCCTCCTCCCTCAGCCTCTCAAGTAGCTGGGACTACAGGCACGCACCACGATGTCTAGCTAACTTTAATTATTTTGCTTTTGTAGAGACAGGATCTGGCTATGTTGACCAGCCTGGTTTCCAACTCCTGGCCTCAAGCAGTCCTCCTGCCTCAGCCTCCCAAAGTGTTGAGATGATAGACATGAGCCACTGTGACTTCTAATCCTCTGTTTTGTTTTGTTTTGTTGAGACAGGGTTTCACCATGTTGCCCAGGCTGGTCTCGAACTCCTGGACTCAAGCAATCCTCCTGCCTCGGTCTCCCAAAGTACTAGGATTACAGGCATGAGCCACCATTCCTAGCCAATCATCTGTTTTTAATAGTGAACTCACCCTAGTGAATAATATACCTTGAGGTATTAGCTAATCATAGTAGTGTGTATGTATAATTTAAAACTATACATATATTAAGACAGTGCTCAAAAAGCAATCACACTACAAAGGCTAAGCAATCAAAAAAGCTTGGAGAAGACACACAAATGACCAACAGTTGTATGAAAAATGCTCAGCATCACTCATCATCAGGGAAATGCAAAGCAAAACCACACCTCAGTTACAATGACTATTGACAAAAAAGACAAAAAATAACAAATCCTGTTGAGGATAAAGGGAAAGGGGATATACACTGTTGGTGAGAATGTGAATTAATACAGCCGTGGAAAACTATATGAAGTTTCCTCAAAAAATTACAAATCAGAACTACCGTTGATCTAGCAAGCACACTGCTAGGTATATATCCAAAAGAAGTAAGCATATCAAAGAGGTACCTGCACTCGTATGTTTATTGGAGCACGATTCACAACAGCCAAAATATCAACCCCAGTGCCTTATCAGCTAACGAATGGATAAAGAAAATGTGGTACATATACATGATGGACTACTATTCAGCCATAAAAAAGGATGAAATCTTGTCATTTGCAGCAACATGGATGGACCTGGAGGACATTATGTGAATTGAAATAAGCCAGGTACAGAAAGACAAATACCACAAGATCTCTCTAATATGTGGGAAACTTAAACAGTTCATCTCACGGAGATAGAGAAAAGAATGGTGGTTCCTGGCCGGGCACGGTGGCTCACACTTGTAATCCCAGCACTTTGGGAGGCCGAGGCAGGCGGATCACAAGGTCAGGAGATCGAGACCATCCTGGCTAACATGGTGAAACCCCATGTCTACTAAAAAATAGAAAAAATTAGCCGGGCGTGGTGGCGGGTGCCTGTAGTCCCAGCTACTCGGGAGGCTGAGGCAGGAGAATGGCGTGAACCCAGGAGGCGGAGCTTGCAGTGAGCGGAGATTGTGCCACTGCATTCCAGCCTGGCGACAAAACGAAACCCTGTCCCAAAAAAAAAAAAAAAAAAAAGTGTTTCCCAGAAGCTGGGAAGGATAGAGGAAAGGGGAGATGAGGAGAGGTTAATAGGTATAAAAATACAGTTAGAGTAAGTTCTAGCGTTTGCTAGTACAATAGGATGGCTGTAGTTAATAGTAGTTTATTGTATATTTCAAAATAGCTAGAAGATTTGAAATGTGCCTAGCACAAAGAAATGATAAGTGTTTGAGGGGATGGGTATCCTAATATTCTGATTTAATCGTTACACATTATATGCATCTATGTAAATATCATGTGTGGCCTGTTAGCTCAGTTGGTTAGAGCATGGTGCTAACAACACTAAGGTCACGATTTCAATCACCACACAGGCCATGGGATGAGACGTTTGAGGCTTCATTTACCCGAATGAAGAGCTTTTAATTCAAGTGGTCTGAATCACCCCTGCACTGAATCCAAAATTCAGACACTCTCTTATTGGCCAGGCACTGTGGTTCATGCCTGTAATTTCAGCACTTTGGGAGGCCGAGGCAGGCAGATCACCTGACGTCAGGAGTTTGAGACCAGCCTGGGCAACATGGTGAAACCCTGTCTCTACTAAAAATACAAAAATTAGCTGGTAGAGATCACACCATTACACTCCAGCCTGGGCGACAGAGTGAAACTGTCTCTAAATAAATAAATAAATAGCACGTGTACTCCAGAAATATGTGTAACTGTCATGTATCAATAAAAAATCAGTTTTTAACAAAGACTTGGAGGTTGAGCACAGTGACTCATGCCTGCAGTCTCATCACTTTGGGAGGCTAAGACAGGAGAATCGCTTGAGCCGAGGAGTTCGAGATCAGCCTAAGCAACATAGTGAGACCTCATCTCTACAGAAAATTCAAAAATTAACTGGGCATGGTGGTGTGTGCCTGCAGTCCCAGCTACTTGGGAGAGTGAGACAGAAGTATCTTGAGAGCAGGAGTTTGAGGCTGCAGAGAGCTTTGATGGTGCCATTGCACTTCAGCCTGGGTGACACCAAGATTCTGTCTCTATGAAAAAAAAAGCAAAAACCCACTGCTCTTGCCCTCCATCTGTCATCCCCAAGCCTCCCAGGTAGATTCTCCATCACCCAGAGGCAGGTGGGGAATTCCTCCACCCTCACAGTCCACTGAGTCCGAGTCTGCTTCCTCATAGGACCTGAGTGGTTGCTGACCTCTCTCTTGTGGAGGGGTATATTCTTCCTTGAGACACTGTTTCTGTTTTCCTGATTTTCCTGTAACCATCCAAACCAATCGCTCTTTTTCCCTTTGTGGCCACTTTTCCTTTGGCCGTGAACCACTGCCTTGGAGATGTAGCCTTTCCCTCTGTATGGCTGATTCTCAAATCTTTGTCTCCAGGTTTGGCCTCCCCCATATACCCCAGTCTTTGTCTGTCCGAATGTTTACAGGATTCCCACACGTTCCCCTAAGTTTAATGTGTGTAAAACAGCACCTCCTTTCCCACCCACCTTCCCTGTTTTCCTGGCCTGGTTGAAGATCACTATTTTCAGAACTGCTGAGGCAAGGACTCTGAGATCACTCTCACCCTCCCTCTCTCACTGACCATCATCATCCAAGCTGTCACAGACACCTGTCAATATTGCCTTCAAGGGGTTCCCTAGACTTCACAGTTTCCTTTTTGTTCTTTTTGCCCCGACTCTGAGCCCTCACCAGGTCACATCTGCATGGCTGCTACTTCCTTTTGCCTGGCTGCCTTTTCTCAAGCTGAAATGAGCTCTCATCTGCCAGTAGCCCATTAGTCTCACATTATGTATGTCACTCAGGTTCCCCCACAGATGCCCTGTTCCCACTAGAATATTGACTTCATTGGGTCCCTACCCTCCACACCTTTCTGGTCTCCCTTTCTGTCCAGACTCTCACACCTCACACACTCCTTTTCCTTCCTCCCCATGGGCTCGCTCGTCACACAGGCTAGAGTACAGTGACACGATCATAGCTCACTGCAGCCTCAAACTGTCAGGCTCAAATGATCCTCCCGCCTCAGCCTCCCAAGTAGCCAGGACTACAGGTGCATGTCAACATGCCCAGCTATTTTATACTTTTCAGTTGAGATGGAGTCTCACTGTGTTGCTCAAGCTGGTCTTGAACTCCTGGGCTCAGGCGATCCTCCCACCTTGACCTCCCAAAGTGCTGGGATCACTGGCATGCATGAGCCACTGTGCCCAGCCTCCCACCTCCTCCTCTTTTGCGTGCTCTGCCATCAGGCAATCTTTGACCCTGCTCCATTGTAAGCTCTGCCATGTGTTAGTGCTTTGATCTTAGACAAGCTAACAGCTCCAAAACCTCAATTTCTTTGTCCATAAAATTATTACTACCTCAACCGGGCACAATGGCTCATGCCTGTAATTCCAGCACTTTGGGAGGCCAAGGCGGCTGGATCATTTGAGGTCAGGAGTTCCAGACCAGCCTGCCCAACATAGTGAAACCCCATCTCTTCTAAAATACAAAAATTAGCTGGACGTGGTGGTGGCCGCCTGTAATCCCAGCTAGTCAGGAGGCTGAGGCAGGAGAATCACTTGAACCCGGGAGGCGGAGGTTACAGTGAGCCAAGATCATACCATTGCACTCCAGCCTGGGCAGCAGAGCGAGACTCCATCTCAAAAAAAAAAAAAATTACCTTGTTCCAGCTTCGTTGAAAGGATGAAATGGCATCATGCATGGAAGGTTATTTAGCCCAGAACCTAGCACAAAGATCTTAATTGTGCCTCGTTTTAGGATTAGCAAAACGTGATTGGCAAAATCAATGTCATATGGCAAACAGTTGGGTGAGTGAGTCACAGGAATAGGTGCTTAATGTTTGTTGGCTTAACAACTTGCAAGCTAACATAATCTCCGTCCTCTGCTAATACTATCTGACCGCTCCGATGCGGAAACATTTCATTCTTCTTTAAACTCCATGTCGTTTATGCGCGTGAGCCGCCACACCCAGGCTGACTCTTTTTTTGTAATTCTTTCACATGTGTTGTTCCCTCTGTCTAACTAGTTTTCAAGTTCCTTGAGGACAAGGATCATGATATTATTATAGCTGACATTTCTTGAATGTGGACTGTGAGCCAGCATTTTAAATTTATAAACTCGCTTAACCTGCACCACAGCCTGATGAGGGAGCTTGCCGTCGTCATCCCTGAGTTATGAATCAGGAAGCAGAGGCCCAGGTTGCCAGCGTGTTACCTGAGGGCACAAGGCTAGTGAGCAGCAGCACTGAGGCACTGCAGCCCAGCCCAGCAGCGAGGTGTGTTGCCGTGTACTGCTTCCCAGGGTGCGGGACTGCACACACTCAGGTGAGTAGTAGAAAACTTACTCACTGATTCCCTGACTGATGGAAATGCTTATCTTTTGCAGCTACACATGCTTTTCTAGCAGCTGCCTGGGCTCCTGGACATGCTGCTCTAAGGCTATTTAAGACAGCACTCCTGCCATCCTCCTGGCCCCCTAAGATAAAACTTCCTTTAAAGAGCATCCTAAATAGAACCAGATTTACACACAAAAGCCAGGATGACTCCTAGCAGATGTTTTGCTACCTGAAGGTTGTTATGTCATGTAGAAAATGAAGGAGGAAAGAAAGAAAAGAAAAAGAAGGGGAAGTGGGGGGAGACGGCATGTGGGAGAAGGGGTGAGAACAGTGAAGAGACTGGGGAGTACCAGAGAGACCACCTCTTCCCAAACAGCTTCTGCCATGATGCTTGCTTCACGCTAAATAACCCACAACCTTCATTCATGTGTGTGTTTGCCCTTGTGCCTTCTTGGTCCCCCAAGCATCGACAGAGTTCTGCTCAGAGAAGCTGGAATGGACCAAAAGCCAGGGAAGGGGCTGGTGGAAACCCAGGCAGGCCTCCGTCACGTGGCATGATCCTAGGAGATGGAAATATTGTACAAAGAAGCAAGATGCCTGGCACCAACTTCCTTGCTGCGCTGAATGACAAATCCAAGATGGTTGGCCAGGCACGGTGGCTCACACCTGTAATCCCAGCACTTTGGGAGGCCAAGGCAGGTGGATCACTTGAGGTCAGGAGTTTGAGACCAACTTGGCCAACATGGTGAAACCCCGTCTCTACTAAATATACAAAAATTAGCCAAGTGTGGTGGCGTGTGCCTGTAATCCCAGCTACTCGGGAGGCTGAGGCAGGAGAATCACTTGAACCTGGGAGGTGGAGGCTGCAGTGAGCCGAGATTGCACCATTGCACTCCAGGCTGGGCGACAGAGTGAGACTCTGTCTCAAAAAAAAACCAAAAAAAAAAAAAAGGCATATGAAAGATGAATTTTAAGTACAAAATTACACAGGATGTGTTACTATACTGGAAACTAACTTCGGAAAATAGGAGTAGATTTCCTGCACCTTTTATCAACTCCTTCTATGATAGAAACGAAACCCACTCTAATGATCCCAAGCCTATCTGTGAAGTCTTACAAGGGGCCAGACTGGCAGCACCATCCACAGGGACATTACCTCTAAGAATCATATATCAAGAGCCAGATCCCAATCAGGAAATTTCTTCCACCATTGTCAGTACAAAGGGCACTCAGCAAGCATCTTTTCCAAATGGATGTCTACCCAGAAGTATCCACATATCCCAATCATCAATACTCAGAAACAAGAAGATATTAGAACTGTTCTTTCTTTCTTGCAGGGGCAAAAATAGGGAGGATTAGGAAGATGAAGCCTTGCCATTGAATCATAAGTAGCACAAATCTTACCTAATCTTTGTCTCATTTAACTGGGTAAACAGCAGCTCTGACACGATTATATGCCCCCAGATGCTGCTGTGACATTGCTAGGTTACAGTGAACACAGTATCAGCTGATGCCATTGGAATAAACATGTGCAGATTTCCAAAACCAAAGTGTTTGCATGTAATATATATTTCATGTTCCTGTCCCCTCAAGCCTGTGTTGAAGCTGATTTCATGTAACATCCTCTAGACTTTAAGGAACATCACTCCGCATTTCAAAGAGTAACAGCATGTATTTTTACAATTTACTCCTTAGCAGGGGGGAACTACAGCATTAACTGTAGGAAATTTTTCTCTTGCACAATAAACCAAAAGCTTTGTAAACATAAAATGACAATTTTCATTAGAAAGCACATTTACTTTTGGTATTGCCAGTTACATAAAGGATAAATGTCTTCAGGCAAAAGGACACCTGGCCATAACATTTTCCTGACAAGTCTGGCCCCAGTTTTCTCCAAGCAATGTCAGGTTTTATATTTTTCCAAAAGAGACAAACGGGAATGCCTCATGAATTGTTCCTGTAGATTTTTAGTCCAATACTACATGACACTTGTATATTAGGCTCCTAAATACTATGTAACACAGCAACAGTGATAAGAGTCACTACTCTCAGACCACACTTGAATTAGTGTCTCTTCCATCCACCCACTTTTTTTGGCTCTTCTTCCTCTGATCCCCCCTGTCTTGAGGCTCAGCACTCCCCCTAACACTCTAGTGGTTCTCAACCTGGGCAATTTTGCCCCCAGGAGACATTTTTGGTTGTTGCAACTAGGGGATGCCACTGGCATCTAGTGGGTACAGGCCAGGGATTCTGCTAAACATCCTACAAGGCACAGGACAGCCCCCCAAAACAAAAATGATCTAGCTCCACATGCCAGTAGTACTGTGGCTGAGAAAACCGGCAATATGCTAACAAAACCACTTTTAATTAAAAGAATATTGCAGCACTATTCACAATAGCAAAGACTTGGAACCAACCCAAATGTCCATCAATGATAGACTGGATTAAGAAAATGTGGCACATATACACCATGGAGTACTGTGCAGCCATAGAAAAGGATGAGTTCATGTCCTTTGCAGGGACATGGATGAAGCTGGAAACCATCATTCTGAGCAAACTATCGCAAGGACAGAAAACCAAACACTGCATGTTCTCACTCATAGGTGTGAATCGAACAATGAGAACACTTGGACACAGGAAGGGGAACATCACACACTGGGGCATGTCATGGGGTTGGGGGGGGGAGGGATAGCATTAGGAGATATACCTAATGTAAATGATGAGTTAATGGGTGCAGCACACTAATATGGCACATGTATACATATGTAACAAACCTGCAGGTTGTGCACATGTACCCTAGAACTTAAAGTATAATAATTTTAAAAAAAGAAGAAAAAAGCCTTTTCAAGAATTTACAATGGCTCTTATTAGATTATAAATTGTAACTTCCTCAGCCTTACTTTCAACACCTTTCCCAATCCATTTCTAACCTACCTGTCACCTGAACTGAGCAAACCTGTGCTGAGCTACCCCATGTGCAGGAGCTGTGAAGGCACTAAAGAGGAAGAGGGGTCGGTGCTTTCCAGAAGCCCGTCCACGGGTGCAGGAGACAAACTGGAGCATGTGGCTAGCACCCAGTAGGTATCAGGAATGGTCTTTCCTTTATTCCTAATTGGCTCTAATTCTAGGCTATGATGGGTGGGTAAAGAGTGGTGGAACCTAGTCTCTTCCCCATATCATAATCTGTGCTCTTGTTTGTCTTTTAATCTATTAGGAAAATTTGAAAGACTAGGTTTTTTTCTATTTGACATGTACCTACCTTTCTTTCCTTCCTTGCTTCCTTCCTTCCTTCCTTCCTCTTTTCCTTCCTTCCTTCCTTCCTCTTTTCCTTCCTTCCTTCCTTCCTCTTTTCCTTCCTTCCTTCCTTCCTCTTTTCCTTCTTTCCTTCCTTCCTTCCCCCCCCTTTTTTTTTTTTTTTTTTTTTTTTGGAGACAGAGTTTCACTGTTGTCGCCCAGGCTGGAGTGCAATGGCACAATCTTGGCTCACCGCAACCTCCACCTCCGAGGTTCAAGGGATTCTCTTGCCTCAGCCTCCCGAGTAGCTGGGATTACAGGCATGTGCCACCACGTCCAGCTAATTTTGTGTTTTTAGTAGAGATGGGGTTTCTCCATGTTGGTCAGGCTGGTCTCGAACTGCTGACCTCAGGTGATACACCCATCTCAGCCTCCCAAAGTGCTGGGATTACAGACACGAGTCACCGCTCCTGGCCTTCTTTCCTCTTTCTTTTTAAGAAACAGGGTGTTTTGCCCGTAATCCTAGCACTTTGGTAGGCCGAGGTGGGAGAATCACCTGAAGTCAGGAGTTCGAGACCAACCTGATCAACATGGAGAAACCCCATCTCTACTAAAAATACAAAATTAGCCAGGCGTCGTGGCACATGCCTGTAATCCCAGCTACTCAGAAGGCTGAGGTGGGAGAATTGCTTGAATCCGGGACATAGAGGTTGCGGTAAGCTGAGGTTGTGCCATTGCACTCCAACCTGGGCAACAAGAGTGAAACTCAGTCTCAAAAAAAAAGAAACAGGGTCTTACTCTGTCACCCATGCTGGAGTACGGTGGTGCAGTCATGGATCACTGCAGCCTGAAATCCCTGGGCTCAAGTGATCCTCCTGCCTCAGCTTCCCAAGTAGCTGGGACTACTGGTTTGTGCCACCACACCCAGGTAATTATTTTTATTTTTATTTTTATTTTTGTAGAGATAGGGTTTCACTATGTTTCCCAAGCTAGTCTCGAATTCCTGACCTCAAGCAATCCTCCTGCCTCAGCTTCTCAAAGTTCTGGGATTACATGCCCAGCCTCCTTACCTTTATAATTTCTAATAAATATTGTTTTAGTTACACTGAATAAGCATGCCGTACTTACAAGAAGCTTTTATGCTAGCATGTCTCAAAATGTTTTAGCAGTTTTCTACTCAGCTTTATCTGTTCATGATCTCTCTGCTCTTGCTACTGATTGAGAAATTAATATTGTTCTCAGTGGCTATGATGTAGATTGAATTGTTCAGCCACAGATTTTTCATCCTGAGATGCCCTTGGGTGCCTGCTAGTTGTTTTTCTTAGGTTAGCTGTTCTTCATTTAAAAATATTAACATGTCAGGCCGGGCGCAGTGGCTCATGCCTGTAATCCCGGCACTTTGGGAGGCTGAGGCGCGTGGATCACCTGAGGTCAGGAGTTCAAGACCAGCCTGGCCAACATGGAGAAACCCTGTCTCTACTAAAAATACAAAAATTAGCCGGGCGTGGTGGTGCGTGCCTGCAATCCTAGCTACTCGGGAGGCTGAGACCAGAGAATCACTTGGACCCAGGAGACGGGAGGTTGCAGTGAGCTGAGATCGCGCCATTGCACTCCAGCCTGGGTGACAGAGCAAGCCTCTGTCTCAAAAAAAAAAGATTAACATGTCAAAGTATTAACCTGCTGTTTTGATAGAAAAATAGCAATGAGCAATGAGGACGGGTGCGGTAGCTCACACCTGTAATCCCAGCACTCTGAGAGGCTGAGGCAGGTGGGTCATGAGGTCAGGAGATTGAGACCATCCTGGCCAAATTGGTGAAACCCCATCTCTACTAAAAACACAAAAATTAGCCAGGTGTGGTGGCGTGTGCCTGTAGTCCCAGCTATTCAGGAGGCTGAGGCAGAGATTCGCTTGAACCTGGGAGGTGGAGGTTACAGTGAGCCGCAATCACGCCATTGCACTCCAGCCTGGGCAACAAGAGCAAAACTCCGTCTCAAAAAAAATAAATAAAATAAAAATAACAATGAAGGCTGGGTGGGGTGGTTCGCGCCTGTAATCCTAGCATTTTGGGAGGCCGAGGCAGGCAGATCGCTTGAGCCCAGGAGTTTGAAACCAGCCTGGGCAACATATTGAGACCCTGCCTACAAAAAAAAACAAAAATTAGCGAGGCATGGTGCCCTGCAGCTGTAGACCTGTTATCCCAGCTACTCAGGAGGCTGAGGCAGGAGGATCACTTGAGCCCAGGGAGATCAAGGCTGCAGTGAGCCGTGATCGTGCCACTGCTCTCCAGGCCTGGGTGACAGAGTGAGACCCTGTCTCAAAACAAAACGAAACAAAAGACAGCGATGAAAACAGGCTTCTAATAAAAAAAATAAGAAAAGACTGCTAATTTGTCAGGCTCAAATATCCCATGTGTTTAGGAAGTAAGAGAAATACCATGCATAAAAGCTCTGTGCAGCCAAGAACATCTGCAAAATGATTATCACTTTGCCATGGACCACATAGAAGTGAAGTGACT